AACAGTACAGCAGCGATAAGAGCTGGAAGGAGGTGTGATTGCCGAAGGGAGTATTGGAACTGATGATGTAAACTTAAAATATTCTAAACAAAGTAAAAATTCACCTCACTGGAATGATGTTCTTTTCAAGAATAACAGGGAAGTGGTTAGAGAGGTGAAGGGGTCTGGAGGAGACAGGCACTAAGGATACACTCAGATACTTGGGCTTCAGGTGCTGGGCATTTGGTTGGCACTATGAGGGCATATCAGGAGTGGGATCTCAAAGGCCCCATTGGCAGGGTATTTTGAGATTACGATATTCTTCTGAGACCCTGCTACTGCCAGAGGGTAGGGTAACCAGGAAATCTAGAGTACATATTTAGTAAAGATTATCTTTAAAAAGCCATTTAATCCTATGATACTCCCATGGAATTTCTAGAAGACTTTTGGTTAAAATGATTCACTGGTTCTCTTAGAATAGCAGGAAACATAGTTTGGATTTTCAGAAAAGAGAATAATGAGGAGGACCCTCCCAAGCAAAGGTGATGACATGATGTAAAGCTGTGTTACTAAAAGGCCGCAGGGAACACCAGGCTCTGTGAGGACTGGGCAGCCTGGGACAGCCTCTGATCAGTGAGATATAATAAAGGGTCAGTGAGTTTGGTTCTGAACAACTAATTAGAAGTTTGGGAAAATGCTGATCCTACTTCCTACCACATACTAATATATCCCAAGTTAACTACAGAATTAATTTTTTTTTTTGAGATAAGAGTTTCACTCTTGTTGCCCAAGCTGAAGTGCAATGGTGCAATCTCGGCCGGGCACGGTGTCTTAAACCTGTCATCCCAGCACTTTGGGAGGCCAAGGCGGACGGATCACAAGGTCAGGAGATCGAGACCATCCTAGCCAACATAGTGAAATCCTGTCTCTACTAAAAATACAAAAATTAGGTGGGTGTGGTGGCACATAGCTGTAGTGCCAGCTACTCAGGAGGCTGAGGCAGGAGAATGCCATGAGCCCAGGAAGTGGAGCTTACAGTGAGCCGAGATCGTGCCACTGTACTCCAGCCTGGATGACAGAGCGAGACTCCATCTCAAAATAATAAATTAATAATAAATAAAAACTAAACATTTAAAAATACCCAGGGGGTAAAAAATGAAGGAAAAATCCCCCCCTCTGCTGTTACCTAACATAGCTTGTGTTAGGTTTTACATTCTTGTTTCCATGCCTATGTGAACATACACACATACAGCGAGTGTCATTCACACAGAGCCTGTGGATAGATCCACTTGGTTCTTTTTAGCGGCTGTGTGGTGTTCTGTGCACTGGAGCGTTGTGCAGTGATAGCAGTGTTTCGTATCTGTGCCATCCAGTGCAGTAACCACTGTCTATCCACACGAGGGTATTAAACATTGACAACATGAAGTTGTCTAGTACAGCTGAAGAATTGAATTTTTATTTCATTTAAATTAAAATTTAAATAGCCTCATGTGGCTAGTGGCTACCATATTAGACAGCATGAGTTTAGAAGTTCTCAACCTGAGGTGGTGGTCCATGGCTTCAAAAGGTCTGCATGCCCAGAGATGGAATTCCAAATCCATGAATGATCACTTTTTATAATGGAGAGAGGCAACAGCTCCCACCAAGTTCTCTGAGAAAAGATGAAAAGCCATGGCCTGAAAACAGAAAACTAAAGCACTGTACTCCTGCATGGAACAAAGGAAGAGAGACTAAAAACTTCCAGCCTCTTAAGATGACCAGGTGTGGTGGCTCACACATGTAATCCCAGCACTTTGGGGGGCCAAGGCAGGGGGATCACTTGCGCTTATGAGTTAGAGACCAGCCTGGGCAACATGGCAAGACCCCATCTCAATTTCTATTAAAATATATATATATGGTTTTTTTTTTTTTTTTTGAAACAGTCTTGCTCTGTTGCCCAGGCTGGAGTGCAGTAGCACAATCTCAGCTTACTGTAGCCTCTGCCTCCCGGGTTCAAGCAATCCTCCTGCCTCAGCCTCCTAAGTAGCTGGGATTACAGGCACCCACCACCACAACCAGCTAATTTTCGTATTTTTAGTAGAGATGGGGTTTCGCCGTGTTGACCAGACTGGTCTCAAACTCTTTTTTTTTTTTTTTTTTTTTGGTCTCACTCTTGACCCCAAGTGATCCGCCTGCCTCAGCCTCCCGAAGTGCCAGGATTACAGGCATGAGCCACCACGCCTGGCCTAAAAAAAAAAGTAATAATCAATGCACATGGTATGGTTGAGCATGTGTTTGTGAAAGGG